GTCCCTGAACCTCCGACCCCTCAGCTGCTCAGGGAGGTAAATTGCAGGATGTGCCCTTATTGGTTCCCCAGTTCCCACATGGCTTTTACTCCTTCCCCAAAGGAAGCCTCCTCCATGGTGATTAATCTCATTCGTTACTTTGTTCAAGGTACTAAAATAAATTAGTTAGAATTCACTGCACTTGCATTGCATCGATATTATTTTAGATGCTGACTATTGTGGCTGGAACGATAAATTTTGTTGTTAAAGATAGTGGGATAACGGGGTTGTGGATGAATAATGTTTTATGAAGACGTCATATTTCCTTAACAAGTTTGTACAATTGCTAGATGAATCTGTGGTCTTTGATAATGGCTTAGCCTTAGCTAGTTGTTGAAAGCGATTGCCATATTTCCTTGACGAGTTTGTATAAGTGATCCTTGTTTATAGAAAATCCAGACCTATTAGCTGAATTCTGGAAAAACATGAAAATTAATAGTTTTTTCCAGTGAATGATTACATATTATTGGATTCATGCGTGTTGGCCTATTCAAGTTTCCAGATATCAATGACTTGGACTCCAACGTTCATATGGGAGAAATGGGATCCCTGTGCTTAAGATATCATAATAAAATTTGTTTGTGACAGTGTTTACTACACTGATTGGTGTTATTGAAGTTTTAAATTCAATAATCTGTAATAAATTAAAGTTGGGTCTAATTGATTTCTTGAGCATTTTGAAGTGGTTCTTGGTGGTGGCAGTGTCGGGAAAGATAGCTGATTTATTTATTTTTTCTTTTTATAATGGTTGTTTAATAAAATATATGTCTTTTATAAAAGGTTGAACCCCAACTTTAAGGGTTCACCACTGCCTCGCCTTTGGAGTATCGTGAGAGAGATTAATCGCGAGATGTGCCCCAGCAAGTCAGTGAACAAGAGTTAGCTGTACACTGGTGCTCACAAGGAGTTCCAATCCATGTTTTAAGAATCAAACCCTCAGACTGCGACTGCCAGCAAAGCTGAATATATCTCATCCTTATTCTTTGCATCACTGGGATATGTCCCAGGTGACAAATATATGTCTTTTATAACTTTTATAAGTGGTTGACAGTTTTTATCCTTTATTAAAAATTGTTGGTGCAATTCACATGACTCAGTTAATGTAAAATCTGATGGACATCGTGAATAGGGACGGTTTCTGCTATTGGGTTCATGATAGGTTTGCAATGAAACAATGAAAGAAAAGCTTAAGAATATACTTGCTATTTACTATCGTATACTTACGAATCTGGTTGGGACCAACACGTCAACAAATCTTGACTCATCTCTCCTTAGCATGTATGTTACCTGTACACTTTAGACACACAATTTAGTGGCACAAGACCGAGGCTCTTCCAAGTAAAGGCTGGAAGGTCATGATCGTGTGTACTTCGATGATCAAATCAAGAATTGAACAGATAATTTTTGTGGGGAAAGAAACGCAAAAGTAGAAGAAATGTGGGAGTCGAGTTTGTATTTCTAAAGTGAAATTACCAACTTAAGATTATTCCCAAGTTACACTAGTGTGAGTATTTATCGGCAAAGGAAAGTAATGGAGACTTTCTAAGTATTTGACAAGTGTTCTTAGCTACTTTTTATCAGTAAGCACTGCATATAAGTAGCATTACTATTTTTTCTTCTTGTCAAATATTTTTGCTGGAGTGTATCAAACTGTATTCATCTAAGACGAGTTTATAAAACATCACGTGATTTGTTCGCAAGGTACTTTTCAAAGAGTATTATGAGTAATCTAAAAAGCTCTCCACTAATTTTCTCTAAAAATAAAAGATAATCACTTGACCTTTCGCTCATTTTCTACTTCTAGTCCTTGCATCTCACCTACCCTTTCACTCGTCTAGTCTCATCCTCATCATCAAGATTCAATCCCTTTTGTCCCCTCTCCCCCATTGACAATAATCTTGACCAGATACATCTATGACCACCTTCCTTTTACAAAAATTAAAGTATGCAAACTTATCAATAGATAAAGGAATAATTGCAGCAGAGGCTCCAAACCTTTGAAATTCGGGCAAACACCGAGCTCCTCTTCACCACCTACTATTTCGTTTATCATCAACCTATTCTATACATATATTTTTATATGTAACTAAACATACACGTACATTGAGAGAAATGGAGAAGAGGAGAGGGTTTTTCTTCACTAGGGAGACGAGGAGTAAGTTGAGAAAGGAGGCGGCTTATATTTATATGTCAATGGTAGATTGCGAGTGTGTGAGGAATATTAGAAGCCTTAATTGACGGTCGTTCGCTGTTGAAACTCTAGCAAACACATTAGCAAACTAAGCATTCACTTCCTTTCAAAACATTTTCTCGATCTTGATTTGTAGGAACACTTTTCACTCTTTGCACTTCGTATCGTGTGATTCTTAATGGCGAAATGGATTTGACTCTATGATGAGCGCATTTATTACTGCGCATTTTTAGATCCCTGTCTCTTGTGCTGTTACCTTCTTCATCTTCTTCTTTGGGTGTGGGGGTGTTGGAGAAGAGGAGGGTTTTTTTTTCCTAACTTAATTTTTAACTTATTTTAATGTAGTAAATGAAAAGTTACCAATTTACCCTTTTAAAAAATTTAACATATGGTCAAAGCCAATTTTTTTAGTCAACTAACAGATATTTGGATGAAAATCGTCCAAAAGGACTCTCGTCGCAATGTTTCGAAAGGTTTGGAATGACGGTTGCAACAAATTAAAGGTTTGAGAAAAGTTTTCTAATTTTTTTAAAAGTTTAGGGCCTCTACTACAATTATCCCATAAATAAATGAATAGATGGAACTAAATTGCACTTTTATGCTTGTGTATTTGTTCCTATACTAGTAGATTGGACCCAAACTAGGTCTACTTTTATTTATTTATTTATTTATCAAGGTGTCCGCTTTCGACGACTATTCCTTGGGTTTGTGATCTGGCCCCTCTTCACACAGACCAGGGTCCGAGCACTTCTCTAACTGGATTGTCAAAGTGCCTAGTGAGCCAACCCATGTCCCGCCTTGCTTTCCAAAACAATCATGCCTTCCAGGATAAATCCTACCTTTCAGTATGTGCCTTGCCTTCGAAGAGCCCCAAAAATCAAACCCACGACCTCTGATCTATCAATTTTGAAAGAACCCGTCCTTTGCCTTCCAATGTCTACTTTATTCATTGCCCCGGCGGCCTCTGAAGAAGTCAAATAATTAGTGATAGTGATGTTTGCATGTTGCTACTACGAGTGGGAAAGGCCAACCTACTATTTGTGGTGGACACATAGAGGTACACTACCACCAAATAATTATTTTTCTCACATTTCCCAAAAATAATTTATTATTCTTTAGCTAAAAAAATAAGAATGAATCTATTTGTATAATAAATTTACACAATAAATTTGACAATGTGTATAGTGTAAAGATTCTAACCATTGAATTCAAAAAAAAATTTCAAATCAATGAATATGAGACCTACCAACTCACACATTGTCAAATTCATTGTACAAATAGCCGATCGAAAAATAATCAACAAAACATCTAAAGTTAGATCTAATTTAGTATGATTGCTAAAAAGTCAAAAACAACTTTTAAAACTAAAAATTACTTCTAACAATTCGGATAATATTCTAAAAGTATTTTATTTGATTAAAAGAATTTTTAGTGAAAGTTGGCTTAAAATAATTTCTCTAATTTAAGGTAGTTTCTTTATAAAACTCTTCTAAAAGAAGCGGAAGAAAAAACATAAATATTGTAAAATAAAATTTTCATCTCCTAGGTTTTTTAAGTCATAGGTCACTCATCAATGCTTCTAGAGATTATAATCTAAAATTAATTAACACATCTCCTAATTTGAATATTTTATTTTTTTAATTTTAAATTCTAATTGGTAGGGTCTTTACAGCACTAATGTTGTCATATGATTACAACAATAATATTTAACGCATGTTTGGTTCAACTTATAAGTATATGCTTTTGCTGACAACTCCCTTATATCTTTTGTTTAATAAGCAAAAAATTAGCCCTTGTTTAATACCACTAAAATTTTTTGATTAAAATTTAAATCAAAATCAACAATTAATTTTAATCACACATTCATAAAACATATAACTTTTCAACCACATATTCCATTAACTTTTATCCAAATTTATTAAAAATTTAATTTTAATCTCTACTAAACAAAGTTTAATAATGAAAGTTGGAGGAGGAGAAAGATGTGGATTGCAGTAGACAGGGAGAATCCGTGCAAGTGCAGAAAAAGTGCATTATAAACGGTGGAGGTTCGTCACGTACGCTATGGTGGCCTAATTTCCTTGGTTCCACCACATATTTTTCTTAATTTTCATTTTCTTTTTTTGGTCAAATTTCTTTCCCAATATGAGAATGAATATTCCATTCACATCTCAGTTTTTTACATTTCTTTGTTCCTTCAAAATGATTCACTCGAAAGGTAAAATATTAGTTTTGAAAAAAAAAATGTTTATAAATATGTTTAGCTAAGATTTTAAATATAGCACACTTTAGATAGTTTCATCATAAAGTTCTTCTACAAAAATTGAAAGCGAAAAACAAAAGCCGTGGAATGTGTTTGAAAGTTCACAACACACAATATTAAATTGGTTTCATCTTCTTCGTCAAGAACCTCTTACTAAGATAAAATCGTAGTATTCTAGTGTACGAAAGTTTTGTCGTGTACATAATTTATATACCAACCATCTAATCCGTTTTCCCAATAATGAGAAAATTGATTACTTGACTAATTCAATGGTAAAAGAATAATGCTATCATAATAAAGAATATATGTAGTTGCTTTACGTGTTATACATATATCGATTTATTATATGATGCATTCATGTTGCTTTACGTATTCAAGTGATACATATATGCTACGTAGAGTGACTATCGATTCCGCATTACTCATGGTAAAATGAGGAAACAAAATTTATGTCGACAAGGATAAATAAAATACTTTTCTTCAACTCCTGGAATTTGGAGATAAGAATCTTCAAATGCAGATGAATTTTTATACCATTCAAGTTCACGGTAATGACATGCGACTATGCATAAACACGACAAAATGCGCCATCATCCCTCGCTTCCATAAGAACCCTCATCGGCTCATCCTCTCTTCCTTATCACTTGCTAAAGAACGATTATTAATTTGATTTGTTTTACCAACAAAAAAATATCCATTTCCATTCTGGTTCTCATCTCTTCCTCTATATAGCTTTATCTCCTCAAAATCACTTCTTTTATCGCCTTTCTTCTCCATGTCCACAAATATTCTTGGATCCCCATATATACTGAAACCCTTCTTCCCTATCAGGTTGTCAGCTGTTACTATGGCTACTTGTGTCCAATCCTCAAGAACAGATACTCCTCAGACAAATCCAAACAGAACCCAAGTTGAAGATGATGCGTTTAATAACTATTTAAGACAGTGCAGACCCATGTTTTCTGGTCTTGTTTCATGTGTGCCCATTTCAGAAAAAAAGTCAAAGACCCTCGACACGCCTAATGTTTTGGATGAAATTTGTGGTGAAGAAGATGAACAGGAAGATAATTTATGGCAGCAGATGAAAATTGAGGCAAGGTCAGATATTGATCGAGAACCCATATTGTGCTACTATTATTTTAGTTCAATCTTGTCTCATGATTCAATGGGAAGTGCTTTGGCTAATCATCTTTCCATGAAGTTGAGTGATTCTAGCTTGCCCAGCGGTACACTGTATGATCTTTTTGTAGGTTTTCTCACAGAGGATCAAGAAATCATTATTGCTGTTAAAGATGATTTGAGGGCTGTTAAAGAAAGGGACCCTGCTTGTATAAGTTATGTTCACTGTTTCTTGAATTTCAAAGGGTTTTTAGCATGCCAGGCTCATAGGGTTGCACATAAGTTATGGTCACAAGGGAGAAAAATTCTTGCCCTTCTGATACAAAGTAGAGTATCTGAAGTTTTTGCAGTGGATATTCATCCTGGGGCCAAAATTGGAAAGGGGATTTTGCTTGATCACGCTACAGGAGTTGTAATAGGAGAAACAGCAGTGATTGGAAATAATGTGTCAATTTTGCACAATGTGACTCTTGGTGGCACTGGGAAGGTTAGTGGAGACAGGCATCCTAAAATTGGTGATGGGGTTTTGATTGGGGCAGGGACTTGTGTACTGGGAAATGTTAGAATTGAAGATGGAGCTAAAATTGGTGCTGGTTCTGTGGTGTTGAAACAGGTGCCTGCTAGAACTACTGCTGTAGGAAATCCAGCTAAATTGATTGGTGGGAAAGATAATCCAATTAAGCTGGATAAAATTCCTAGCTTGACCATGGATCATACATCAGATATATCCAAGTGGTCTGATTACGTTATTTAAGGCAATCACTTTTTCCTGTTTCTGTAGGAGTTTGGGGCTTTTCTTGTGCTTTTAAGAGAGAGCCTGAGTTCTCCTATTAGCATAGAGGAATTCTTGTCTTGGTGTCGTATTCTGTGTCATGGTTGCCTTTAGATTCTGTGCTGTATTGGTACATAATCCATGACAAAATCGCCAAGTGGACCCTTTACTAGATTTTCGAAAGAAATTATGTTGTCTCTTTCCAGGCTTACGAGGCAAAACTACTCGAGTCACAATGTAAGACCTCCCTGTATGACCGCTAAGTAATAGTCTTATCTTATCTTTCTTATTATTATTGAAGGAAATTCTATTTTTCAATCTATCATTGGAGAAAATTCACTCCTCTATGAGCTGTTAAAACAAATGGTGCCTTTGGTAACAAAATAAAGTAACAAGAAACACACGTAACAATAATCAAGGAAGCCAATAAATTAGCGGCAGGCTTCAAACAAGGTGCTTAGTGTAGTTGTGATGCTATCGACTTGAAATGTAGAAAATTCATCCAGTATTATTCTAGAAATAATGGACATGATGACATACTAGAAAAACATAATTAGTTGCATCTGCTGGTTCGTATAAATTGCAAGAATCTTGCATTATGATTACAGTGCAGAAGCTTGGGAAATGCCATATTATTTGTCAACTGCATGACCCTCACCCATCTTCTCCGCAACAAAACTCTTGCAATCAAACAAGTCCAGAATATGCATCTAGGATTGTTACCTTCACAGGATTTTGACATCATCATGTCAATCGAAGGTTAGAATTCTTTCAACTATATTCAGGCCGAGGTTGGATCTAGACCCCGATGTGACTTGAGTGCTAGAGGACCACCGGTGACAGAAAGGCTCGTTGTTTGGGTTAATGAACATGGGGAAGATCTTATGCTCAGATGTTTGTTGAATTTCCATAACTGGGACTTGATCTCCTACTGTACTCAGCTACGAGCTTTGAAAATGAAGATGACTTGTCCTCGAGCAACTTTTCTGGAGAATCATTTTCCTTAATAAGTCCTGCACCACGGGATAAAGAAGGTGAACACCAATAAGTTACAAACGCACCTAAAGATTACAGCATTGTAATGAGGTCCTATACCGTGATCTAGTAATAGAACAATATCACTGTCGAGCACAGATGTTATCCTGTGTGCAATTGTTATAACGGTGCAATCAGAGAAGTGCTGCCTAAGAGTCTGTTGAATCAGATAATCAGTTGCTGTGTCTACTGATGCTGTGGCCTCATCTAGCACCAGAACCTTGCTTTTCTTAAGTAGAACACGTCCAAGACAAACGAGCTGCCTTTGGCCGACACTCCAGTTATCTCCATTCTCAGAAACTATAATTTTTATTGTAAAACCAAGAAATCAACAAGACATTTTGATAATATATTGGTAAGAAAAATTGCAAAGGATAAATTAGTTGAGAAGAAAACCTGTGGAATCAAGCTTGCCTTCCTTCTCTCGAACCTCATCTCCAAGCTGGCATTTATCAAGAGCCTAAAGGAAAGGAGAACATTTTCATTCTCGAAAATCAGAGAGTTCACATCAAGCCGACATATAAAATTTTCGAAAATTTTGTTGATTTTATAATTAAAAATTAGAGGTAGGCTTCAAGGCGTGTTACAACATCACTTTCCGGAGAAGCAATTTGCCTGAATCCGATCGTACATAATAATTCCCAAGTGGTGGCGGAAATTAACGCTTTTAAGGAAAGTGACTTTGTAACACCCCTTGAGGTCTGTCTCTATTCTATGATTGTAAAATCGATAACATCAAAGAGAAGATCCACCTCCCAAATCTGCTCATCTGTATACTCTTCTAGGGGATCCATGTTACTTCTAACTGTCCCCTCAAACATGGTTGGATCCTGTGGTATTATGCTCAATCTAGATCTCAAATCATGCAGTCCAATTGATGAGATATTGACACCATCAATCAATACTTGTCCACCAGCTGGTTCGACAATGCGGAAGAGAGTCTGTATAAGAGTTGATTTACCACTGCCCGTCCTCCCTACTATTCCAGTCTTCTTACCACCAAAGAAAGTGCATGAAAGTCCTCGTAAGACAAGAGGCAGGTGCGGGGCATATCGGACCTACAATTATTACTTATCTTCATTAGCTTGGTCCGATTGTGTTGAAGACTAAATTTAAGTAAACATCCACGTTGTCTCTCTAATAGCTTAAAGTTTTTATACCCATCCAAAATGGTAAATAAACAAGTAGAGGTCCTCAGTTCAAGTCTGAGTTAAAAATTGTGCCCTTGTTAGGCCTCCGGTGAAAAATGTGGCCTCACGTGAGGGGCGAAGTGAAGACTAAATTTAGTAAAAAAATACGTTCCCCTTTTAATAGCTTAAGGTTTTAGATGAGGTGGTTCAACAAATGGCTCAATACTGAGGCATAATAATTAAATCATTAATAGATCCATTAATTATAAATAAAAAGTTTGAGCAAAACTACCTGAAGATCGCGGATATTGACTTCTCCATGTGTAGGCCAATGACTTGAAGGCCTATTTGATTCTACAACAAGAGGGGGCTCCGTAGGGATACAAGTGTACTGAAGTATTCTTTCAACTGAAATTATCATATTTTCCATAAGGCAAAGATTCCAAACAAACCAAGCTTGCAATGTGTTTAGATTCAACCCATATGTCACTGCCAATCCCGCAATACCTTCAAATCATTGAGGAAAAGGCGAAAAAAGTGTTAGCTACACATCTAGTTTTGTACCATTGCACGTGCTGCACTAAAGAGATACTCATAAGTCGGAATGCATGATATGAAGAAACTTACTCGGATCAATTGTTCCCTTTGGAACAGAGATTAAGATAACCAATGAAGAAGCAAAAGTAATTAGGGATAATATGTCCAACCGAAAGCAAAGCCACTCCATAGCACCAGCATTGTGGAATTTTGGCCGCAAATATCCATCTATCAGTTTCATGCTCATGTCACAGAATCTAGATTCCTGATCAAAACCTTTAATTGTGCTCGATCCTGAGAGTGTCTCAGCAAAGTGCTGTATGACTGGAGCTTTGCACACTCCAATCAATCGTGACATTTCTCGTGCTGAAGGTATGTAATATCGCTGCACAAGACAAATTACAAGGTTTTTTCAGCTTCTGGAACTACATCACATCTTCGTTTTGGCTGACAGTACCCTTCATAGGGTGCTAGATAACTCAGACCAAGAACTAAGGTAAGCATAGATGCTCAGCTATAGGGTGTGGACCATCTCCTCTCACCTTGTTACAAAGCAGATCCTCAAGAAAAATCAGACCAACGTCAAGTCCCAACAATACTAACATACTCTTACTACTTTAACGACATCTAATGTTATACAATAATAAAATATTGAAAACCAATTTTCAAGTATTTAAGATTTATAGGTACGCTAAGATAATGTATTGTTTACTAAATTCATGAATACTGGTTGTCCTCCTTCATTGGAGGTAAGATGATAATTCCTTTTTTTCTGTTGTTTTTTTTTATCTTTTTATGTTTATTCTTCATTTAATCTTGGCAATCTTAACTGTCAATGTAACGTGTCTGCAGGTACTACTTACACATAAAAATGGAAGGATGGGGGCGAAAATGTCAAGAAACAAAGGTTGGAGATAAAAGTGCAAAAAGGGACCAAGTGTGCTCATGGATAAAGGCAACAAAAATCCAAGAACGACTTCATTTCTTTTACTGTTGAAATTTGACAATAATGCAAATGTTATTCTGGAAACCTACAAGTGAAGAAAAAGTTTCACCACAATTAACTAGTGAATTCTATTACTATCTCTAAATGTAAAGAGTAAGTAGGCAACATATTATTTGAATATATATATTTTACTTTCCCATAACATGATGAAATTTATTCCATTGCCACATATATACAATAAAAAGGGGAAATCTAGTGCAAAATACGGGCTTTTAGCTACTGGCTAATTGATTAACTATCATCAAGTTGGATATAGGGAGAAAGAACCACATGAAAATACAAACTCCTATTACATGCTGCAATTATGAGAGCTACAAAATACTCCAAATCAAAATGGAGTTACCTGCAACCACACGCTAATTGCAATCACTGGAATGAAGATGATGAAGACCGGCCATGCGACTTGTGACATTACTCCAATGATTCCCAGAAGCTGTACAATCGAAAAGGCAAATGTTCCAACTTGAAATGGAATGTCTAAATCCACTGCACTTTGGTCAGTAGATATCTGTGACAGAACACAGTTCAGTTAACAATAAATTTCATAATGGGGGAAAAAAAGGAAAAAAAAAATAAAGATTATAAGCAGCAATCACAAAATAATGCATTTTTCGTACTCTATTCAGAATTCTCCCACTTGGAGTGGCGTCGAAGAAAGACATGGGGGCCCGAAATATGCACTGATGCATTTTCTCGAAAAGTATCATGGCTGTCTTACAGCCAGCCGTCACAAGAAGCAAAGCTCTGGCAAGCGTACAAAAAGAACATCCAATACCAAAAGCAACATAGACAATGATAAGGGTATAGCCTCCCACTGGAGGTGGTACATCCTTTGAGATGGGAGTTGCCCAAGCCATCCAGTAATTGCTTCCAATTTGAAGCAACTGAAACAGAATTTGTGCTAACAATATAAACGGCACGAGGGCTCCTCCATATGCTGTCATGATGTATTTCTTGTAGACTGACAAACCAACTCCACCCTTCTCTCTTTCTTCTTCTTCAACAAGCTGTCCCTTTGTTCCCATAATATTGTCTGCTTCACCATTTTGAGCATCTCGACTTTCCTTTTTCAGCAAAACATTCTTAGCATTCCCTGAGAAACTATTTCCCTCACCAATAGTCACTGCCCCCACCTCAGTGAAACTGAGAGCAGATAAAGCTTCTTTATGTGCACCAATAAGATGCATGAAGTCAGTTCCTGATTCGAGAATGTCATGATACTTTCCAGCTTGTGTAATCCTTCCATCTTTCATAACCTGACGATTGATTAGGTTCTGCAGCTTAGTTAACTGGAGACAGGATAATCAAGGTAAATGAAACGTGCAAGACGTGAATAGCTCACCAATATGAGATGTGCAGCAGGTAAAAACTCCATTTGATGTGTAACATAAATAACGGTTTTAGAATCCAGAATCCGCAATATACATTCCTGCCATTAAAGATCATGAATATCAGAACATCAAATTAAGAATGCCCCTTAAGCCCCAGTCTGGTGTTTAATCTACGCCGAACAAGAGCTAAGTCTCAATCAGCTGGAGAGAGACAACATCAACAAAAAAAAAATAATAATAATAAAATAAAATGAAATGAAAAAGCATAGACATTGCTTATAGAGAGACAAAGATACGATGCTTATAATAAACAGATGGGTTCCTGCAACTATAAACAAGATTATGCACGGGACTACATGAATTATAATAGAATAACAATGGTAACACAGAGATATGGTCTTTACATTGAACAGATGGGTTCCTGTATGTGCATCAACGGCACTAAATGGATCGTCAAACAGATAAATGTCAGCTTCTTGATATAGAGCACGTGCAATCTGTATCCTCTGCTTTTGCCCACCACTCAAGTTGATCCCTCTCTCACCGATGACTGTTTGATCACCAAATGGTAGGAGTTCCAAGTCTTTCCTTAAGGAACATGCTTCAATGACCCTATCATACCTTTGTCTGTCCATCTTCCTACCAAACAGTATGTTCTCTTCAATTTTGCCACTCTGAATCCAGGGTGACTGAGCAACATATGCCTTTGATCCACAGAGCTTGACATTTCCAGATATTTTTGGCATTTCTCCCAGAATACAAGAGAGTAAGCTTGACTTGCCTGAACCAACGGCACCAGAAATGGCAATTCTCATGCCATGAAATACTCTGAGATTAATATCTTTTAAAGCTGAACTAGGAGAATATGCATCCCAAGCAAAATTCCCATCTATTATCTCAACAACTATGTTAGAACTACCCATTGGAAGCTTCTCTATAACACCAGGCTGCATGTCTTCGAGAGAGAGAAAAGATGCAATTCGATCAAGAGAAACTTTAGTCTGTACTAGCATAGAGATTGTATCGGGAAGACTGTAAATAGACTCTTGAAGGATTCTAAAGGTTGCAAGTGCAGAGAGTATCTTCCCTGATTCGAGGGGAATTCCCATTAGCAAACAAGCACCAAAAGTTACCACAGAAACAAATGTAGGGGCACTCCAAAAGACGAGTGTCGACATGGCTTTAGTGTACACATATTTTCTCAACCATCCAATCTCGTTTTCCCTAAGCTCAAGAATTTTGGACAAAAACTTCATCTCCCAAGCCTGAAGCTTAAGGATCCTCATGTTCTTCAAGACTTCAGATGTAGCCTTCATCCTTCTGTCTTTAGATTCCATTAACTTATTCTGAAATTTCTCCTCTACACTCCCCAAGGGTACATTTGCTAACATCACCAAAACTGTGGCAACAAGTGTAGCAAGAGAAGCAAGCCCAAGATTTTTATATAAGATAACTAGGGCCAAACCAATCTGCACGAGTACTATCCATGGTTCATGTATATACCATTCGAAGTCACCAATCCTCTCAGCATCAACTGACATAAAATTAATGATCTCCCCCGTGGAGTGTCCCTGTTTTGATTGGCTCGAAAGTGTCAAGCTCTTATTGTATATTTTAGCAATCAATGCTCCCCTGGCCCTAAATCCAGCTTGCTGCACCTTAAAATACCAGTGTCTTTGGGTCAAGCATTCAACGAGCTTTGAGATGAAGAATGCGGAAACTAACAAACAGCCTTCATTTTGGAAATCTTGATGTCCAGTTAGGTATTGAACAAGTGTGTCAATAAGGTATGGACCAACATAAGAAGCCAATGTATTCACAAGCACGTAGACAGCTGAGAGTGCAATTTCCTTCCGAATTGTGAATATCAGTCCCTTTGCCAGAATGAGTGCAGTCACTCTATTATTTCTCCCAGTATCAGACTCTAACTTATTGTATAGAATCAGAAATGCGCCTCTAACGCTATCAAAACTGGCAAGTTGAGGGACATCCTCAAGATTCAATACTTTCTTATTACCAGCAGAAATCAAAGGGCTCATCCAAGAGAAAGTAAGGATACTAAAAATACTAGCATTTGCATAAGGGGTAACAATTTCATCCCCAGTGGAAGGTATCTCAGACTCTCTACCACTAGTAACACTACCGTTTAAAAGGGGTTCCTGAAGAAGGTTATCTTCGTTGACTTTCTTACACAAAGTTTCCGCACAACAGAAGAATAAACCCATAACAGTGGAAACAATATCAGACACCCAATATAGAGTTGATAAATTTTGGTGCTTCTGGTAATAAACAAAGTCTATTGCTAGGCAATAACAAGAAATAACTAAGAAAATCCCCCACCAGAGCCTTAAAACAATTGGATACTTAGTTTCACCTGAATTAAAGAACTGTGAGTGCAAGAAAACAGAAAGACCTAACCAAGCTAGTGTCTTTGCTCCCAAATCTAGTAAATTTAGAATCTTTTCATCAGACCAACCATGTGAATACGGATAAAAGTGGTTCAATAGACACAAAACAAAATTAAACAATGAAAAACCGATACAGCAAAACAGGGTTGGTTTGGAATACAAGAGCCTGGTTCGCCTAACACTCTGGTTTTGCCTCTTCGTGATTTTCTTGAAAATCCATAATATGAACAGAACAAGCAGCAAAACCAAGTGCAAAGAACCAGTAAAGAAACGCAGGACAATTGGGTTTAGCAGAACATTATCGCCTCCATTATTCAATAGTATAAATTTAGATATAAACATCGACATGCCATTACTCTTCAGGAACAATAGCTTTCTATGAAAATTATCCATTGCCATGAGGTATTGTGGCTTGCCAGGTTTTTCTATTTGCTTTGTAAGTGTAGTAGACTTGTAGTGACAAGTGAACGAAATCAGTAGGCATATTTCAACAGCGAGGATGTAGAAATTAGAACAAAGAGATATGTCAAAAGTGGTCTACATTGGGCGTACGTAAAGTACTGTAGAAAAGATGATGGAGAGAACTCAGGGAGTGGGGAAGACAAGTGGGACAGTGTTTGAAAGGAAAATAACTTTATTGTGCAACTTTACTAACGCACGGGCAAGAAAAAATAAAATTCTTAAAAGCGAATATAAATTATCTTTAAACTTAACCAAACATGCAACATTTTGTTCTAAATATATTAAAATAACATATTTTTAATCAATACAAGTTATTTATCTTAAAAGTATATTCAAAACTCAAGTCAATCAGAGATGGATCATGATTGAGTGAGTACAAAGTTTAACTAAAAATTTTAATAGTTGCTAATAGAACTTGGTTATATATTCATGAATAATTATTTTAAGCTTAGCCTTCTGTTCCAATTAAATATCAAATATGTTAAGGGAATAAATTCCACATCGGTTAAATACTGAAATATTGACCAACTTAAATAAATTTTGGACCACTCCTCTTAACAAGGTAGATTTTATTAAGATGGACCTCAAGTCTTTATGTGGTATCAGAGCCCAATAAGTTCCAACGAGCTGTTCAATTTGATTAAGTCTAAAAAATGAACATACGAATTTCAAGATTGATCTGCTAAAAAAGAGTCATCAACTTGCGGGGGCATGTTAAGGGAATAAATTCCACATCGATTAAATACTAAAATATTGACCAACTTAAATAGACTTTGGATCATTTCTCAACTTGGTTATATATTCATGAATAATTATTTTAAGCTTAGCCTTCTGTTCCAATTAAATATCAAATATGTTAAGGGAATAAATTTCACATCGGTTAAATACTGAAATATTGACCAACTTAAATAAATTTTGGACCACTCCTCTTAACAAGGTAGATTTTATTAAGATGGACCCCAAGTCTTTATGTGGTATCAGAGCCCAATAAGCTCCAACGAGCTGTTCAATTTGATTAAGTCTAAAAAATGAACATACGAATTTCAAGATTGATCTGCTAAAAAAGAGTCATCAACTTGCGGGGGCATGTTAAGGGAATAAATTTCACATCGATTAAATACTAAAATATTGACCAACTTAAATAGACTTTGGATCATTCCTTTTAATAAGGTTGGCCTTATTAAGATGGACTCCAAATTTTAACAAAATATATTTTTTCTCATGTAGTCATGCATTTTTATTTAGTTATTGTTTTTTGTATAAATATTATCTATTACTAAGTCAATCTTTAATGGTGCGTGTTGAGATTAGGAAGAATTTATAAACAATTTAATAAATAAATAAATAGAAATAAACGGTATTGTTAAATATAATGCACCAATTAAGTAACAAATATACAGTCTTGTTGAAGTAACTATTTTTACTAAATGTATTAAAATAACATATGTGTATAAAAGTTATTTACCTTAAAAGTATATTTAAGATTCGTGTCAATCTAGGATGGAGTTAGGATTATGGTTGAGTGAGGACAAAGTTTAACGAAGAATTTTATTAGTTGCTAGTATTCATAAATAACTTTTTTTAAGCTAAGCCTCCAGTTCCAAAATTAAATATCTAATATATTTTTATCATTTAGTCGTGCTTCTTTAATTTAATATTTTTTTTTTTGTATGAATATTATCTATTACTAAGTGAATCTTTTATGGTGCATGTTAAGATTTGAAATGAATTTATAAACAATTTAATTAATAAATAAATAGAAATAAATAGTCTTGTTAAAATATAATGCACCAATTAATAAATAATTCTTCATGCTTAAATCACAAATAAATAGCCTTGTTGAAATAACTTTTCGTTCTAAATATATTAAAATAACTTATTTTTAATTAATCCAATTTATTTTTCTTAAAAGTATAATCAAAATTCGTGTTAATCAAGGATGGAGCTAGGATTATGATTGAGCGTGGACAAAGTTTAACTAAGAATTTTACTGCGTTGCTAATAAAACTTGCTTATGTATCCATAAATAAATTTTTTTAGCATAGCCTTCAGTTCCAAAATTAAATATCAAATATATTTTTGTCATGTAATCATGCTTCTTCTTCTTTTTTTTTTAGTTATTGTTTTTAGTATAAATATTATCAATTACTAAGTCAATCTTTTATTGTGCATATTCGAAAAGAATTTATAAACAGATTAATTAATAAATATATAGAAATAAATAGTCTTGTTACAATATAATGCACCATTAATGTACAACTCTTCACGCTTAAATAACAAATAAGTGGTCTCGTTGAAATAACATTATGTTCTATATAATAAAATAACATTTTAATACAAGTTATATATCTTAAAAGTATATTTAAAATTCGTGTCAATCAACGAAGTTAGGATTGTAAGTATTATGCCCTATGTCTAATCAACTTTGGATATAAATGCTTTTGATATATATAATTCATGCAATTTAATGGCAAATCTATTATTTAATTAATAGACAATTAAATAAATAATAGAGTTTATAGATTCAAATTTTCGTAATTTGTTAATCACAAGGAGTTGTGATTGTGAGATACAAATTACATCTGATTGAATCTTAAATTGTCAGGGGTCGTAAGTAATAACGAGATACGGATATCGTTATTACGGATAGACTATCACGTGTGACATTTCTTACTTGTGAAGTAAGTAGCTGATCTCACAAGTTAAAGTGCGGTGATACTTAAATGAACACGTGGATGTTTTGTTATAGAACAAAATATTGGAGGCCCGTCAAGAGATTCCACATGGATAACTATCCGAGTGTCAGTAGTTAATCTCTAATGTTCCATAATGGGATTGGTCCTTTTGACTTGAGGTCGTCATAATACCTTTTATGAGGACAGTCATGTTCTGACGGTGTTAGATATTGCTCTACCAAGGGCTGCTAATACGGCATCGTTCGGATATGTCAATAATCATATGAAAATTGTTAATGATCAATAAATGATTTGTCACTCTTAGATAGCAAGAGATTATGATCTGCGTTTCATTCAATTAAGTTGATAACGAAATCCTTAGTCAATGTGTACTCATAAGTCGAAAATGAGTTTTCGACTTATATTGACTTAATAGTGGAGTGAAATATATGATCGATAATCGAGATTGACACACTTCTATATCTCGTAATTGATCGGATCATATTGACAAATGGATTATAGTTTCACGGTAAACGAACGAATTTGGTTTTGTCATACCACATGACATTTCCCGTCACATGTATTGCCCTGACACCTTGCTAGATGTCAATTTGGGATGACGAATGTGAATTGATGATAAATTAAAAGGGTGTTTTAATTTATCAATTTTGATTAGATCAAAATAATATTTCACGTCGTTAGGCACCGCGATCGGGAACCTGATGGATCATATACAAAAGATAATTAAAATATTGCAATTTGTCAATTAATTGATTTAACAATCTTTGGATAAATTAATTAATTAGTTTGGTTATTTATAGACTCGAATTAATTAATTGGATTAATTAATTCACGTATCGAATTTAATTAAATATTCGATCGGCCCAAGCTAGGCACGTTTGAGCTTATATAAATACATGGCTAGGGTTTTCAATCCATATGTTTTTCTCATAATTATTCTTGCTAGGACAAAAAGAGAAACCCTGGTAGCTGCAATCTTGTTCTCTGTGCATGTTAAGTAGATTCCCAACAAGTAGTATCAGAGCCTACTTTGTGTTTGTTAGAGATTATTTTAAATTTTTGGGAACAATGAAAAGTTGATTTTGTTCTTTTCTTGTTTCTAGCAATTAAGATGTTATTTGATTTTCATTCTTTTGAAATCTGATTTAAAAAGAAAATAAATTTTGTATTGAGAAAAAAAAGGGAAACGAAAGGGAATCTGCCAGTGGAGTCGAAAGGAAAGGGAATCTGTAGGCTCCCGTTTGCAATATCCTTATGATGTTAATTTTTTTAAATGAGGGTCGGTTTGCAATATTTAATATTAAGGACCCCTTTTGGCAATTTGTTTTCGGGGGTCAAGGTTGCAATTATTTTATTGAAGGGCATCTTTGCAATTTCGCAAATTGGAGGGCCTATTCATAATTTTAAAATGGGTCAAATTGCACATTTCTAAAGGTGTTTTGAATATAAGTATTAAAATGATTTTTAAATGGAATTTGACCTATTTTGACTAGAGTTTTAATTTTGAAGAATTGGATTCTAATTTGATATTTAATTAAACTTTGATTTTAATTAAATTGTTTCGTCCTAAACTTTTCTTTAAATTAGAGTTAGACTATAATTTGATGTTTAATTAAAATTTGATTTTGATTAAACATGCCCTAAAATCTTAGATTTAGAGTTGGACTCTAATTTTACTATTTAATTAAAATTTGATTTTAATTAAATTCAACCGCCTTAAGTTATGAAATTAAAGTTGGACTCTAATTTGATATTTAATTAAGATTTGATTTTAATTAAATTATCCCGCCCTAAAATTGTTGAATTAGAATTGGACTCTAATTTGGTATTTAATTAAAATTTGATTTTAATTAAATTCAACCGCCTTAAGTTATGAAATTAAAGTTGGACTCTAATTTGATATTTAATTAAGATTTGATTTTAATTAAATTATCCCGCCCTAAAATTGTTGAATTAGAATTGGACTCTAATTTGGTATTTAATTAAAATTTGATTTTAATTAAATATTCCCGCTAATTAAATAATCGATTAATATGATTAATTAATTGTTTAATTAATCCGATCCATTTGTCTAAAAGAGTTTAGACGACTTAATTGCTAGAAACTTGAAACTTATTTGCATATAATATTAGATATTATATAGGTATACATTTATGTGATGAATGTATTATTAGTGGACAATTATGGACTCGAGCATATGGATGTGTTGAATCGTTAATTTTTATTCTTGTCGTTTTATGGGCCTGCGAGCTCTTAATTGTTTTGGGCATGCGAGCCCATTATTATTGTTATTATTTTGGGCCTACGAGCTCTTGATCATTTTGGACTTGAGAGTCCGTTATTATTATTGTTGCTATGGACCTGCGAATCAAATTTCATTTAGGCCCGCGTGCCAACTAGTATAGGATACAGGTTGCAACTAGACTAAT